AACCGTTAGAAGTTATATACCATCCCAAAGCGAAGCCATCTGCGCGGATTGAACGATGGGCTCTCCGGTTACAACAGTACCAATTTAAACTACGACACTGACCCGGTAAAACCAATCCAGCTGATGTACTATCCCGTAAACCTTTGTCAACACTCGAAAAGAACAGCATTGCAGAAGATTATGTAAATTTTTTAACCGACCATCTAGTGCCTAAGTCTATGAACAGGCAGGAAATTGAGGAAGCGTGTCAGAAGGATGCTGAAATGCAAGCTCTTATAACGGCCATTAGAAAAAACCGCTGGCCACGAAAACCAGCTGGTAACACTAACAACAATAAGAACGATAATAACATCCATCTAACGCCATATCACAGTATTTGTAACGAACTAACAGCTTCATATAACGGTATCGTACTACGAGGAAACCGACTTGTCATGCCCAAGAAACTACCAAGCCACACATTAAATATTGCACATGCGCAACACCAGGGTATCGTCAAAACTAAAACCTTACTTCGAACAAATGTATGGTGGCCGGGAATAGATCGCCAGGTTGAAATGCTTATCGCTTCCTGTATACACTGTCAAGTTGCAAACAATTCCAAAATATTTAAACCGTTGAAAATGACCACAATGCCATCCAAAACATGGCAAGTGATTCATGCATGGGGATTTTTGTGGACATTCCCCAGTGGGGACTGGGGACCATCTTTTAATGTTAACATTCCCGATTTCCTGTGGTTGAAATCATTCGATCAACTACAGTACAACCGCGGTCACTATTGGAAAGCTCGAGAAAATATTTTCGGTTCATGGATTCCCAATTGAATTTGTTAGCGATAATGGTCCACCTTTTAACGGATACGAATTCCGCAACTATTTAGCACAAAATGGAATCAAACATCGAAAGATTACGCCATACTGGCCGCATGCCAATACACACGTAAAACGGTTTATGAGGAATATTGAAAAATTAGTTAGAATTGCTCACTCACAAGGAAAGAATTGGAAAACGGAACTTTATCGTTTTCTCCTAGAGTACCGCACAACACCACATGTTACTACAGGAATTGCACCGGCAGATCTACTATTCAACCGACAAATACGTAACATACTTCCAGATAGCAACGCGATGATTCCCGAAGGGAACGGGGGAAATCTGGATAAAACGTCTCCAACTACAGGTCGTGAAGCTGTACTTCAACGCGATGCAAGGGAGAAAAACAAATTCAAGGATCGGGCAGATATACGAAACAGAGCTAAAGAACCCCATTTCCGTATTTGGTATTGTTGAAACAAAGTCAAAGAAATAAGTTATATTTACCTTGGGATCCATCACCATATCGCGTAACAGGTATAAAAGGATCAGAAATCACGGCCAAACGCCGAGGGGTTACGGTCACACGAGATTCGTCACATTTCAAGCGTGTAATTCCTTACCTGCAAGAATTGGACGATCCATATTCAAACAGTAGTGAAGAAGAAGAAGATGGAGAAATGGCAGTCCAGCAACAACAGGAAGATCCAGAGAATGATATCGCAAGTGAGTTATCAGGCGAAGATATTGATAATGCATAGCAAAACCAGCCGTTAACTTCGATATCCAAGGAGAGAAAATCGAGACATTCGACCACAGTATTATGAAGAAGAAATCGGTTGAACTGGACTGTATTAATGGATTGAATATTTACGTTATTGAAAACAGTACCCGATAAGTAAGAACATTTATGGTACTTTAGTATAGTATCGGGAAACATTTAAAAACTTCTTAGGTTAAAATGAATTGGTTATTTATGATTGTTTTGAGTTACGTTTGGTTCATAAAGAAAATGGGAGATATGCTGTACGTGTCAGAGACGAGGGACTGGGGAGTAATTCAAGATGGCGTGACTGAGTGAAAGCTTAAATTGTAGATTGTAAGATTGAATAAAACCGTTGAGTTTGAGTACATTACTGTATAGGGGGCAAAAATATTCTTGCTAAGAATTTCAATTCTTGGTAAGCAAAAACTATCTCACTATACGGACAATTTAATATATTCTTACTAGATTTAAGTAATAATATATCCTTAAAACTAGTAATTATTTTCTTGAAATTAGAATGGACCTATTCCCTAATGAACAAAAATTTGATCTAGATAAATCTAGACAGAAATTTCACAGCTTGAAAGAGCATCACAAAATTGGTAATATTCTGAAGTTTCGTTGCGAAATGTTGTAAAATCCGGATAATATATATAGCCCTGCGAAGTTTGCCGTTTTTCAGTCATTTTGTATTACGAACGGGAAATTGATACCGCTTTCTGAAAACTGACAACTTTGTAGCGACTTGATAAAATAACATCATTGATACAACTTGTTGACAAGGCGGCTACAAGCCTATTGGGCAAACATCGATCTTGTTGACAAGTTGTGAGATATTTACGTGTGTAGTCGTATCATGTAAATGGACCTTGTAATAGTTATGTCAGCCAATTTTAGACTTTGTTCGTGTCAGTGGTGTATATAGTTGCAGATAGCGATTCCGTCAGATGATTAAAGGAATACTGAATGGTTTTCCGTGCAGGATTGCGTGATCCATGCACGCGGGATGTTGCGAGACTTTCGGAAAGCGTGAAAACACACGAGTGTATTTTTACGCTTTCCGAAAGTCGAGCAACATCCCAAGTGCATGGATCATGCTATCCTGAACGGGAAAACCATTTGATAATTGTTTTATAAAATTACTACAGTGAAACGAGGGTTAACTTCATTAAAATTACTGATGAAATGTGCAGTTCTCACAACAATCGTGAATTCACCAATCGGAGAATCGCTACTCCACGCTATTGAAAACAACAACAAATGTGAACAGAATTTGATCGCAAATTCGCGAAAATATACAGCGAAAATACAGAGTCTTTTTCTATATAATATACGAAATTTGAAATGGAAAACTAGCTAAACAGAAAGCCAAAGTAGTTATGAAGATTCTCCACCTGAATACTTGAAGATTGCGAAGCGTTTGAACTTTGAAGCGAGAGATGTTCTACACTTGTACTTGCCATGGTCTGATGAATTTCAACGCTACGCATTGCTACTTGCTGAACAGCAATGTATCGATTAGAAATTTATTCATACAACTAAACCAACGTCTCAATAATTGCAAACTTACTTCAAATTCGAAAGGTATTGTACAATAAAACTTTACAATGCAAGTATATTTGTAAAATTATGTGCAAGAATTTCTCTTCAGAATTTCCCGTGCAGGATTGTCTGATCCTGCACGGCGGTTGACCAATCAAATTGCGTGTTTCACTGTAGTTATTATATAAAGCGCATTCATGCATGCACACGTTTTTCGGAATACATTAGTTTTATATAGAGCTTACTTACTCCAGATATATTATAATGAGAGATCACTTGGTTGTCCTAAAGAAAGGCCTCGGAAGGCCTCGCTGGAAACATCGAAAAATATTCCAAAGGCAAAGTTTGTATTCAAATTAACAGCTAATCTCCTGCGCAGCCGTTTTTAATTTAGGGTCCTTGCAAACATATACGTTAGCGACTCACTGAGTACCTACAGGAATTAAATAATTATAGACTAACGTAAGATCTTCGGATTATTTGATACCCCAATGGCCTATTCACGACCCAAACTTGTGATTTTTACCAGCGAGAAATTTTGGTAGCTAGGGGTTTTAATTAGCGTTTGACAATTTAAATTTGCGAGGGCAAAATGGCTGTCTCTTTCTGCTCATATCAACAATACAGTATACGCACAAGAATTCAAAGCCATTGAACCAGAAGTAAACTAGAACGCTAATTCCTATGAGAAAGGCCTGTGATTCGTCGAAGCCGACGCACGGGAAAATCGATTTTTAAAAGGATGGAGGAGAGTTTCGAGAAGTAAGGAAATTTTGTCAAAAATTCGTTTTTGAGCAAAAATTAATAAGAAAAACGCTTTTTTCTGGGAAAACTTTAAGTTTGGGATTCAAACCTGATTTTCCGATTAGTTTTCACTTTTTGACATCTAGGCTGCAAAAAAAAGAGGTGACTGTCACTTTCGTATTTTGAAGAAATGGCAAACATTTGCCGGACGTGCCAAAGCAAAACTGCTCATTAGAAATAATTATGCTATAAAACGTTTTGACATGTAGTCATTAAACTTATTTTGTGCTAAACTCTACTGTGTTATGCTCCCTAACCTTATTGATATTACAACCTTGGTTACCTTGTGTCGTGATGTCGTCAACTTTGTAACATTCTTGCTATTGTATCATGCCTGTATCAGCTAGACTTGTTAGAACAACCTTGTACCAAGTCTCATGCTGATGCCATCAAGCTTGTTCCAAAACTTGTTACCACAATTGGGAAGTGAGAACAAGCAGTGCCAACACTCCTTGTCGACAGCTTGCACGTGAGCAGATTTGCACACACGTAAAAACGCACAAGTTGTCACAGGTCTGCAAACAAGTTGTTACAAATCTGTTCACAAGCTGTCGAGAAGTTGTGTTCGCACTGCTTGTTCCCAGTTGTTGTAACAAGTTTGGAACAAGTTGTTAACAACTTGTAACAAGCTTGATGGCATTATATCAGACTTGTTACAAGGTTGTTCTAACAAGTCTGATACAGTCATGATATAACAAGAATGTTACAAGGTTGACGACACAACGTTGTAATAATATTGTTACATCATGACTGTATCGGACATGTTGGAACAACCTTTTAACAAGTTTGATAATATCAACAATGTTGTAACAAGTTGTTAACAGCTTATTCCAAACTTGTTGAACATGAATAGGTTTTCGGATCGCCGGATTTCACAGAAATAATTGTTCGGATTTCAGATCTGGCGAATATTTTACACGGATTTGCGGATCTTATTAATACAGCGGATTGTGAATTTATCTAATATTTGTTTGCTCGGATTGTGGATTTAGCTTGCAATTTAGTTCAGATCCTGGATTGTGACTTCACAGTAGAGCTTTTAACGGATTCAAATTTTGACAAGACCATTGTCGGATCGTGGATTTTGCTTCAAATTTGGGCAGATCGGCGGATTTGTATACCCCTATTAACCCCCCCCCCCCCTCTTTCTTAAAA